GGTAACTTCCCAGAGTGCACTGGGGTATGGGACACGTTCAATAATGCTACCTTCTACCCAAGGTAAGGTTTCACAAATTCATTTCATGTGAAATAACAGCCGTTGTCATCTGAGAAACGGTACTGCACGTAGTCCTATCAAGTTTTAATGACTGAAGGCAGAGCCGGTGAGTTTGGGAATACGAGAGACAGTTCGATATTTCAGTGGGAGGTACGGTTAAAAAGGCTCAAAAACAGTACGAGCTATGGCTGGAAGGGAGTAAACAGAAGGATGTGATTACATTGAATAGTAAATCAAAAAGACTTAAAGCCGAACGATCAATCTTCAGCACCAAAGGTGTTCAAAACTCTGTTTGGAGTCATGGTGTTTCTAATAAATCAGTCATCATGCTTCCACTAAAAACTGGCGTATTAAAAAGTAATGGACAAGTGTATACAGGTGGGAAAAATACTATCAGAGAGAACAATGGGCTTCTTTTGGTCCAAAGGGTCTGAGAGGTTGAAGATCCTGAGAGAACCGCTGATTACTTCTCTAGTTGTGCTCGGTCACATCGCCTCCAGTGATTGAACTGAGAGCAGATATGCCCCTCTGGGTTTACTTTCCATTTTATTTAACGTCTTCTGGAAACTTGTATAAGATAAGACTGTTCCTACAAACATCTACCTGAAAATGGTTCAGACTATCTCCACCAACAATGCTTATTTAAAGGAATTCATTCACTCAATCGACAGCACTTAGGGTCCTAAGAAATGTGTTTTATTTCCCCCCCCAATTCTTTGTTTCTCATTTGAATTTTTGTTTCTGTTTTTTTTTTTTTTACATTTTAACTCAAATGTTAATAATCAAAATTATGTCTGATGAATTCAATTCATAAAATTTTAATAATTTAATAACTTGTTGAATATTTAACAATAATAATTCCCTATTAAATGTATTGTTTTTATATAAATTATGTGGTGGTTTTTCCTCTGGATTCTGTGTTTTATGATGTGATACAAATTAATAAATTACAAACAATGGTAATCAAATCAGTGCATAAAATTTAATAAATTAAATTTTAACAATACCTTTCATTTCTTGGCAAACAAAGAGCTGCATAACAGGGTTTAATTGTTTAAATTAAAAGGACAAAAAATAAATAATATTTTGGTATTCCTTAAAAAATCATTAGTAATAAAATAATAAACTATATAAACTATTATTATTGTTATTATGAGTTTTAAAAAGTACATTCTGCTGTACAATAGTTGTGTTATTTTTTATGTTAAACAAAACTTTTTGGGTGGTTTCTGTATGTATCTGACAATAGTTTTATTAAATGAAATGGTGAAATCCTTGTGAAGTGAATTCTTAGTGCAGCTCTGGATATGAAGTTCATTTGGAGTTTTCTCATATAGTGGGATGGCAGATGCTGACAACACAAGTGTCACGCAAGCTTTAACTATCGTGTATTAGACGAAACTGTGCCGCTTATTCACCCAGAGAAGCAGAACATGCAGATTTTATATTTGAAAAATAATGACCTTTTCAGATCTAAAAATACACATGCAAGTGCTTTATAAAATTACAAGCTTCACATTTTTTAAAATCCTTTAAAAATTGTCCCCATTCACTTCCATTACAGTTCTTCACTGTAACTTCCGAGTTTTCCTTTTTAAAGAAAACAAAGGAAGAGTTGCAGTTTTTTTTATAGTAATCAAAATTGTGCCACAACTGCTGATGATTGAAATTAACTTGCTCTGAACCCTGAATATTCCTTTAAGGGTGATATAAGTCTGTCACGAAAGGGCATGAACTTCATCATCCTCAAACGTGTCACACGGCAAAACATGAGGCATTAGTGTATCATTGGGCATGCAGCTGTGTATGAGGTTGATTTAAGTTTAGCCCCAGGCTCAGAGGAACAGATGACATGGAGGGGGTCCTCTGGACTCAAAACAGTATATTACTTAAGCTCAATAAATACACACTGGGGGCAAGGCACCCTGCTTTGAGCTACCATTAAAGGACTGCCGGGATATCTGAGTAAAAAGAATAAATATAAAAATTTGTCACTGCGACGAAGAGCCCTCCACCACCATATCTCTGTGATGTGACCATACATGCAGTTGCTCATTATCATCTGCGTCTTTCTCCAAAGCCTACAGCAATGCATGCACAAACACACCAGCACACAAACACACATATACATACACACCATCCCATCCATACATAAGTGAACAGCTTGATATCTAGCAAAAATATGTGTATCTTAAAAGCGTATATGACATAAACAGGTTTGAGATTTTATAGCTAAATGTCCATTTTTTTATCGGTTTTGATGTCAAAACGTAAACAGAGATGCACACAAGACAACGGATATGCTGACAGAAAGCCATTACAGGTATTTACATACAAAAAAATCAGGATCATTTACTGTATACTTATATCGAGCAATATATTCTATATAGCAAATCTCGGCTGTGTGCTTCGTGTTTATGTTGTCGCAAAATGTAAAGTGGATTATCACTCAGCTCTGTATATGAAGTTGGATATATTATATCCAAATGTATCCACATACATACAGTATACTCGCATAAAATAATATATACTACATTGCAAATCTCAATTGCTTGACTTCTATATAGTTGCAAAATGTAACTATATTATCTCAACAGCTTGATTGCTTGTATTGTTGAAAAATGTAAACTATATTATCGCCCAGCTCTAATCTGCTAAATACTACCATAAGGCATCACAATATTAATAATATTATGATTTTCTGTAAAGCTGCCTTGAAACAATGTGTATTGTGAAACACACTATACAAATAAATATAATGAGCCTATCAAGCTTAGCTTAAACTGGTTATGACCTTTAATCAATAATACAAAAACAATATGTAAGCCGTTTTTGTGACCTCACATTGTCAAGTTATTAAGAATAATCCGTTGAGGATGTTGCATGTAAACACAATTATTGACACAACACATACTGGATGACCTTTGGAGACCTATGCCTTTGCTGGCAGATTATGTTGTGATGAGTGCGATGAGGAAGTGAGCAGATAGACATGGACATCTCACTCTGCTTCTTGAGACATCATATCAGCAGAGCCACACGCACTCACACGCAGCTTTATCTGTCTCTCGCTCTCTATTTCTCGCACTGTGCCGCCCGCCCACAGTAGAAGCCGGACAGTCGGAGTCAGTGCTGCTGCACTAATTCTTGGACTGGCTGTGAGCGTGTCCTGGGGAAGGGAATACAAATCAGGCTTTACTATACAGTCAGGCAGAGCTGGCCTGTCTCCCAGGAGCCTGCCGTGCGGGCCGTCTGTGGCCTAGGCAAAAGTTGACAGGAAGGAAACCAGGGCCTTTCGGCTCTCGGCCTCCCCTGGGGCTCATGGCCCTCACAGAAGCTAATTATTACAGTAATAATCACCCAATTTGGTGAGGCGCCACTCAACAGAACGGCACATTTCACCTCTTCCAGCACTAACATCAGTCTGTATGCGCATCAGTCTACGTACAAGCACAACGAGCAACACCCACACTTATCCTTGAGGGTAAAAGCAGTGTATTGTATGCTACAGCATATCGTGCAAACCCACAAAATTTGACATGAATGTCAGGCTGACAAATGTGCTTCTCTGTAAAAAACTAATTTGAGTTGATTATTTATAACAGCGCTACACAGTGCTGTGGTAGTGCAATTGAAAATCCAAGGAATACAGAGCTTCTGGTGTTTCTGTGCATGCTTCAGCTTGTTGGCTAACATTAGATTGCATTTATACACTTTTGGATGTGTAGGAAATGCAACCATTTTTTCTTAGTGTGAAGACGATTTTAATAATACCTTTTTCCACTATAAAGAGCCTTTTGTGCAATGGAAAGATTCTATGAATGCTAAATGGATGCCAGTAACCTTTTGATTTTTTTGCACCCTCGGATTCCAGATTTTCAAATAGTTGTATTTAGGCCAAATATTTTCCTATCCTAACAAACCATACATCAATGGAAAGCTTATATATTCAGCTTTTAGGTGATGTATGAATCTCAATTTCTAAAAATGTACCCTTTTGACCAGGGGTGCCCAAACTCAGTCCTGGAGGGCCGGTGTCCTGCAGAGTTTAGCTTTAACCCCAATTAAACACACCTGAACCAGCTAATTAAGCTCTTACTAGGCATGCTAGAAACTTGAAGGCAGGTGTGTTGAGGCAAGTTGGAGCTAAACTCTGCAGGACACCGGCCCTCCAGGACCGAGTTTGGGCACCCCTGCTTTTGACTGATTTTGTGGTCCAGGGTCACATATATTATCATAAAGCCATAAGAGAGATACAGAACCAGAAAACTGTACACTAAAATCATAGCATGTTACAGTAAACAAAAATACATTGTCTTTACCC